GACATAGGCGCGAGCAGGACGTAGACCACCATCTTGATGGCCAGTGCCGTGCCGAGCACCTGGCCGGCCTGCGCGCCAGCCAGGTCATAGGCGAGCAGCGAAAGCGCCACGGTCGCCAAGCCAGTACCGACCAACGCAATCACCTGGGCAGCGAACAGATTCCTGAAGGTCGGAAAACGGAGAACCTCGATCATGGCTGTCCTCGGAGGAATGGAGTGCAGAAATGCCAATACCCTGCGGATCGTAGAACGATCCGCAGGGCCGGGCGTGAAACTGTGGAAGGGAACGTACTCAATCGGTTTCCGGCGCCGGCAGTGGGTCCTCGATGCCCGCTGCCTTCCTGCGCGCAGTCCTGCGCAGCACCAGCCCACACAGTGCCGGCAGGACGAACAGGGTCAGCACGGTGGCCGTGATGAGGCCGCCGATGACCACGGTTGCCAACGGCTTCTGCACTTCAGCACCCGTGCCGGTTGCGATCGCCATGGGCACAAACCCCAGTGAAGCAACCAAGGCCGTCATCAACACGGGCCGGACGCGCTCCATTGCACCCTGCTCCACCGCCTCGTCCGGCTCCATGCCGTCATGCAGACGCTTCTTGATGGCGGAGATCAACACCAGTCCGTTCAGCACCGCCACACCCGAAACAGCAATGAACCCCACTGCTGCCGAGATCGAGAACGGAATGCCACGCAAGGCCAGCGCGAAGAAGCCACCGGCCAGCGCCAGCGGTACGGCCGTCAGCACAGTGCCGGTCAACAGCCCGTTGCCGATGGCCATATACAGCACCGCGGCAATCAGGATGAAGCACAGCGGCACGATGATGGCCAAACGCTGGGTAGCTGCCTGCAGGTTCTGGAACTGCCCGCCCCACTCGATCCACGAGCCGGTCGGCAGTTGCACCTGCTGTGCGATCGCTACCTTGGCATCGTCCACGAAGCTGCCCAGATCACGCCCCACTACGTTGGCCTCTACATAGATCCGGCGCTTGCCGTTGTCACGACTCACCTCGTTCAGACCCTGCGTGAAGCGGAAGCTGACCAGCTCACGCAGCGGCACCGAAGGGCTGCCTTCCTGATTCCCCGGCGGCAGCATGACCGGCACCGCACCCAGGACGTCCAGATCACTTCGGTCGACGCGGGGCAGTCGAACCACCACATCGAAGCGGCGATCGCCCTCAAAGATCTGGCCCGCCTGGCGTCCGGCCAACGCGGCCGACACCGTATCAGCCACATCCTTAACGGTCAGGCCATAGCGGGCGATCGCTGCGCGATCAAACGCCATGTCGAAGGTCGGGAAGCCACCGGTCTGGGCCACACGCACATCCGATGCCCCGGGAATCTTCTTCAGCACAGCAGCAATTTTGTCTGCGCTGGTGGCCAAGGCCGTCAGGTCTTCGCCGTAGATCTTCACCGCCACGTCGCTGCGCACACCACCGATCAGCTCGTTGAAGCGCATCTCGATCGGCTGCGTGGCGTCGTAGTTGTTGCCCACCAGGAACGCGGTCTTCTCGCGGATGCGCTCGATGACCTGCTCTTTGGTCTTCACACCATCAGGCCACTGGTCCTTCGGTTTCAGGATGACGTAGTTGTCCGATGCGTTTGGCGGCATGGGGTCTGCGGCAAGGCTCGCCGTACCCGCCTTGGAGTAGACGGTCTGCACCTCGGGAAGCGTCAGCACAGCCTTCTCCAGGGGAAGATCGATGGCTACCGACTGTTCGATGGAGGTGGAGGGAATACGAACGGAGGACAGGTTCAGGTTCTGCTCGTCCAGTGTCGGCATGAACTCACGTCCGACGAAGGAGAACGCCACCGCGCCGGCCAGCAATACGCCCAATCCGCCGGCAAGATATGGCATCGGTTGCCGGATCGCATTGCGCAGCAACGGCTGGTAACGGCTCTTCGTGGCCGCCACTACACGCACTTCCTTCTCGGAGATGTGGCCCTTCAACATGACCGCGACCATCGCCGGAACGAATGTCAGCGAGAGGACAAAGGCCGATGCAAGCGCCAGCATCAGGGTGATCACCATCGGCGAGAACATCTTGCCTTCCACGCCCTGGAACGTCAGGCACGGAACAAAGACGAGGAAGATGACCGCCTGTCCGTAGATCGTCGGGCGGACCATCTCCTTGGAGGACGCGATGGTCTCGTGCAGGCGCTCGCTCAGAGTGAGGATTCTACCTTCGGCATGCTGACGCTCGGCCAATCGTCGCAGTGAGTTTTCGACAATGATCACAGCACCGTCGATGATCAGTCCAAAATCCAGCGCTCCCAGGCTCATCAGGTTGCCGGAGATGCCCAGCTTGTTCATGCCGATGGCGGTGATGAGCAGGGACAACGGAATTACCAGTGCAGCAATCACTGCCGCACGCCAGTTACCCAGCAACGCGAACAGGATGACCACCACCAGCAGCGCGCCCTCCGTCAGGTTCTTGGCGACGGTCTTGATGGTCGCCACCACCAACTGCGAGCGATCCAGCGTCGGGACGATGCTCACGCCCGGCGGCATGGTCTTGCTGATCTCCTTGAGCTTGTCGCCGACGGCGGCGGCCACGGTGCGGCTGTTGGCGCCCACCAGCATCAGCGCGCTGCCCACTACCGTCTCGTAGCCGTTGCGACTGGCGGCACCTCGCCGCAGCTCGCCGTCGATCACCACCCGCGCAACATCACCCACCGTGACCGGAACACCGTTGCGGTTACCCACCACGGCCCGCGCGATCTCATCCACCGAACGGATACGGGCATCAGCTCGCACCAGATAGGATTCGCCAGAGCGCTGGATGTAGTCCGCACCCACCGAAAGATTTGCATCCTGCAGCGCGTTCGCCAGGTCGGTGTAGGAGAACCCATACTCAGCAAGCTTGGCTGCATTGGGCTCGACCACATACTCCTTCACATAGCCGCCCAGGCTGTCGACGTCAGCCACGCCCGGCGTCGTGCGCAGCTGCGGGCGCACGATCCAGTCCTGTACCGTGCGCAGGTACGCTAGGCGCGCCATGTCATCGGCCAGGCGATCGCCCTGATCGGTCAGGAACGAGCCATCGCTCTGCCATCCGGGCTTGCCATCGTTGCGTGGCGCGTCCTTGCCATCGGGGTGTGTGAACTCGACGCTGTAGTGGAATACCTCGCCCAGGCCAGTGGAAACCGGCCCCATCAGCGGCTCGGCGCCTTCGGGAAGCTGCGGCCGGGCCTGGGTCAAGCGCTCGGTGACCTGCTGGCGCATGAAGTACAGATCGGCACTTTCATCGAAGATGACCGTCACCTGGCTGAAACCGTTGCGCGAGAACGAACGCGTGTTGGCAACGCCGCGCAGGCCCGCCATCGCGGTCTCGATGGGATAGGTCACCCGCTTTTCCACTTCCACCGGGCTGAGCGTGGGGATGACGGTGTTGATCTGCACCTGCTTGTTGGTGATGTCCGGGGTGACATCGATCGGCAGCATGTTCAACTGCCAGGCACCGATGACCGAGATCACCAGCGTGATGAACAACACCAGCCAGCGGTGCCGCACGGCACCTGTAAGCACCTGTTCGATCATCACTCGTCTCCGCCGGACTTGTTCATTTCCGCCTTCACCAGGAAGGCGTTGCGGGTTGCTACGCGGGTTCCTGCGGAAACACCGGAGAGGATCTGCGCCATTCCACCACTACGCACGCCTACGAACACGGGCTGGGCGTTGAACCCCTTCTCCGTGCGCACGAACAGCACGTCTTTGCCATCGATGTTCTGCACGGCTTCTTCGGGAACGGACATGCCACCGGACTGCCCGGCTGACGCCACAAGGCGCACCTGCACGCCGTCACCGACGACAAGTCCGGCGCCAGCGTTTTCCGGCGTAATCACCACGGTTGCAGCTCGAGTCAATCCTCCCACCGCCGTCGCTACAGAACGGACCTTGCCTGATACCACGGTGCCGTCAGAGCGCACGATGGTGGCAGGATCACCGGAGCGGATCCGGCTGGTATCACCCGCGCGCACCGATGCCTGCACCTCCACGCCGTTCGAGCCGGTGACGCGATAGAGGGTGGCCTGTGGTTCAACGAATACACCCAGTGTGGCCTGGGAACTGCTGATGGTCCCGGCGATGGGGCTGACCACCGAAACGCTGCCGCCGCCATCGACGTTGGCGGTGCGAGCCACCAGCGCAGCCCGTTGCGCTTCGGCCTGTGCCGACAGGTAGGCAGCTTGGCTGGCTTCGGCCTCCTGCCGGGCAAGCACCCCCTGCGCCAACAGCGACTGGTCCCGGCTGGCGTTCTTCTGCGCCAGGGAAAGACCGGCATTGGCCACGCGCAGATCTGCTGCAATGCGTGCGCCATCAGGGCTGGCGACCCGTGCAAGGACATCGCCCTTGGCGACCTTGTCGCCCACCTGGCGAAGCACCTCGGTCACGTTGCCTGCGGCCCTGGATACCACCACGGCTTCACCACCCGGAATGGCAACGACGGAGCCTGCTGCGCCAATGTTGGCTGCCACGTCGGCAGAGGTGACAGCCTCAACGGCAATACCGGCTGCTCCAAGATATGCATCGGGAATGGCAACGNGGCGCGCTGGAGGACTGCGAAAGGCGGGCGATGCCGAAGCCTGCGCCAAGCGCCAGCGCGGCGACGCCGAGCATGCCCAGAGTATTCACGGAAGGGGTGTTTCGCTTCATTCAACGGTCTCCGAAGACGATCTGGCCATTGGCCATTGCAAGTGATGCGTAGGCACGGACCCGGGCAAGGCGCGCATCGACCACGGTCAGCCGCGCTTCTGTCAACGTGCGGCGGCTGAGCAGCAGTTCCACCAGGGGCGTGCGGCCGGCCTCATACCCCAGACGGCCCATGCGGTAGGCCTCGGCCGCGGCTTTTTCACCCTCGGCAGCTGCCTCGAGGCCGCGTCGCGCCGCAGCCACCTGGGACAACGCGGTAGCGCGATCTGCCTGGCTCTGCAGGCGCGCAGCGTCCAATCGCGCCCTGGCCGCGTCGGTACGGGCACGGGCGGCGCTGATGCCGCCACTGTTGCGGTCGAACAGCGGNACGGACAGCGAAAGGCCCACGACCAGCGCGTCCCCACCTGCTGCAAAGCTGCGACGCCCTGCAGACACGCTCAGGTCCGGCGCACGCTTGAGCCTTTCGATACGCAGTTGGGCTTCGGTAGCGTCCACGTCCGCCTTGGCTGTCAGCACCGCCGTGGCATCGCCTGCGGTTGCGCCCACCGTTGGCCAGTCGCGCTCTAGAAGGGACTGGCCCACACCTGAGTACGTCTCGGTCTGGCCGGCCAGCACCGACAACTGCTCAAGAGCAGCCGTCGTCTCGGCATCGCGACTGGCAGCAGCCGATTGCGCCGCGCTCAGGCCGGCCTGGGCTTGGGCGGAACGAAGGCTGGCCTCTTTGCCAGCTTCCACCAGAGCCTTGGCCGCACGCAGGTCGCCCTCGGCGCGCTCCACATCCTCCTGCGCGATTGCCCGGCGAATCAGGCTGGCCTCGGCAGCGGCGTAGGCCACCGCCAGCGCTGCCGAGAACTCAACCTGCGCTTGGTGTTGCCGAGCTTCGGCCGCCTGCAGGCCCTTCTCGCCCGCCTGGATACGCGCGCTCCGCTGGCCGAAGATCTCCAGCGGCTGGGTCAGGGTGTAGGTCGTCTGGCGCTGGCTGCTGCCATTGCTTAAGGGTGCGTTGAGATTCTCGACAAGGCCGTCGATAGTGGGGTTGCGCAATGCTCTGGCCTGCCGGGCATCGCCGGCGGCCGCTGCGGTGTCGAAGCGCTTTTCCTGCAGGTAAGGCGATTGCGCCCTGCTCTGTTCCAGTAGATCTTCGTAGGTGGGCGCGTCGGCGGCCCACGCCACCGATGTGCCGAACAGCGCCAGCAGTGTCGACAAGGCAAGCAATGAGTACTTCATCCAGGGGTCCAGTGCAGTGATGCCGCATCAGCGGTCGTCTCATGCACTACGCGGCCTGTGTGCCGCTCCCCTCACATCTGGGAGATTTTTTTCTAACGACCCAACGCCGAGGCCAGTTTTGCCCGGGCGCGAAGTACGCGGCCTTCGATCGTTTTCAGGCTGATTCCCAGCGCAGCGGCCGCTTCAACCTGGGACAGACCGACGAATGCCGTCAGCACCAGTGCCTCGCGTAAGGCGGGATCGATGCTGTCGAGCACGCGCATCACGCTGGCGAGTTCAAGGCTGGAACTGGCGCTCTGTTCCGGGCCGGCCTGATCCGATACCAGCGTCCGGCCCTCTTCATCGTCGATGGGCCGGGCCTTGAATAGGAAGTAACGCACGCGGCGGAAACGCTGGGTATCGCGAACCTTGTTGATTCCGATACGCATCAACCACGGAAGCACTGGGCGAGCGGGGTCATACTCAGCCAACGCGCGCCACGCCGACACGAAAGTTTCCTGAACGACGTCGTCCACGTCGGTTTCCGGAACGCCCATGCCTCGCACCATCTGTGTGATGGCCGGCGAGTGCCTGCGCACCAGGCGCGCGAATGCCGCTGGGTCACCCGCAGCAGCTTCGACGGCCCAGTTGTTGTCTTCCTCGATCGTCACGCTCAGGCCATGCTTTCAAGGGGAATCGTTGCGCAGTGCGTCCAGCAGCGCCTTGTCGTAGGCAGCGCGGTGATCGGGCTTCAGCCCTGCACGCATCTCGAAGACGTGCTCCAGCGTGATACGCTGCAGATCACCCGCCGCACGCTCGACCTCCCTGCTTGCCGCCTCTACCTGCGGACTCCAGCGAGGATCGGCCGCAATGGCATCGGCAAGTTGACGGTTGGCGATTCGCAAGCGCGCCTCGATCTCGCCCCTGCGCGTCGCAAAGAGCTGCTCTTTGGCCTGCAGGATGTCCTTCTCCGAATTGTCCAGGGGCACCACGGCGTGCAGCCGTTCATGCAGGTCGCTGTGGCCAGGGTTGAGGTAGTGCCAGCCCCAGCCGATCCCCAGGGCGCAAACCACGCCGATGACCGCGCCGGCCAAGGTCGCCAAAGGCNGGTGACGAGGAATGCAGAGCCCACCCCGCCACAGGTCAGCACCGCAGACAACGCAGCACAGGTCACAGCGCGGCGGAGCTCGCGGCGTCCCGCCCACTTGGCAGGTGGCGGCTCCTGGGCCAGGCGGGCCAGCAGCGCATCGGTTCCCGCGCTGGCATCTGCGCGCGTTGCGTTTGCGGCTTTTGCAAGCCAGTCATCAAGGTTGTTCATCTGCAGATCTCCTCGTCCACATACTTCATACGGCTGCCAGGGCGGCTTCCCCTCGAACACTAGCAGTTCATGAACGTGGTTTCTGAATAGGCCTTCCGGGAGCTCTGCCCCAGCGGGATTCGTCAACGATGTCTGCTTTCGGCCATAAGCGATCGTCTAACCCGGGCTAGACACCGCCCTACTCTGCCAGCGGAGCGAACGATGCTTGGCTTGGCGTCCCCATGACTTTCTGGACAAGCTCGTAACCAGAAACCTCCTCGTACCGTGAGGGTATTCTTGCCTTTAGCCCATGGAGGCGCCGGTTTGCTGTCAATGCGAGCTGGTTGTAAGTGGTCGCTGTTACCCGTCCGCGCTGGGCTCCGTTGTATTCCCGGTTATTGACAGTTGGGATATTGGATGCGACCGAATGGCCGACCACGAAGGCATGGAAGAAAGGCCCACCCTGTATGCCTCCGCTGGAGACAAGTTCATCGACATACTCTGCCGCCTGATTCATTTCTTTGCGACCGATTTCAGAACGCCCTTTTTTCAACTCGATGAGCAGGACATCGCGCATCATCACGAGCTGATCCTTGCCGGTATCAAAACTTTCCGTCCCGACGATTGAGAGAGTGGCATCGGAGAGGACGACGATGTCGGGGCGCTTCGCAGCATTAGCAAAGGTCTGATTCTGCTTTCTCGCTTTGAATAGACTGGTGGCGACTGTTCGCAGGGTGTTGTTCGATGCATACTCCGAACTGTCGAACTCCGGCCCAAATAGCCAACGCGCCTGCGTCACGAGCGGATGAAGGGTATGCAACTCGTCAGCTTCCGGGTCGCCGCTGAGCTTCTCCATGGCGGCAATGATGGACAAACGACTGTCGATCTCATCCAGAACCGTGAGCGCATCCTCCACAGTCCACTGTCCTAGCAATCGATCCAGCCCGTCGATGTCGTGCTCATCCAGCTGCATCAGCTTGTCAAGGAAACTTGAACCGCTTCGTGCCTTCTGAATCTTGATAACCGCTTTGACGACCTTGTTGAGGGTCTCCGGCGGTATCCCTGGCTGGTCATGCACCACGGTCTTTGTGAACTGGGCTACTTCAAGCATGGATCGCCTAGGTAGCGTCCGCAGATCCTCTCGATTCTTGTAGAGCGCGTCTTCTGAGTTCTCCTCGATCAGGTGGGCCGACAACTTCTCGACCATTTCCTGGGCATACCCGTTGGCCGCTTCGAAAAGGTGATCAGTTCGCTCCGTAGTCTTGAACTTCGACCAGTCTGGTTCGATTTCGGAAAGCCACTCCGATCCGCACTCAATCACGAGGGCATAGCGCTTGGCAAAGCGCACCCGCCCATCCAGAACGACCATCGGCCCAACGGTCCAACTCGGCAGCCCGACCAACCGATTGCTCACCCAAAACGCTACGCCTTGGTAGCGGGTGGATTTCGCTGTGCGTGTTGTGTCCACCACATACGCCGTGACATCAAAGCCAGGTTCGACCTGAATCTTGCGTTCCTCCAGAAGGCCCTCATGCTCAGACAGCGGGACGGACTGGCCGTTCACCGAAACGACGAACTGCGGATCGTGCAGGAAGCGTCCTGACAGGACCGTCCTGATCCGATCTGGATCTGGGCGGTGGCGTTCAACCTCCACCAACAACCGGGTGCCATGGCCCGAACGGGTGGCTGTCTCATGGCTTTGGATGTAGAACGGCGACGGCTGATTTCGGGTCCCAATCACGAAGGTAGAAAGAACGCCATTTGTCCAAGTTTCGACCGTGTAATGATCAGAAAAGCACAACAAGCCATGGCGACCAATACCGTTGCGTCCGAAGGCCATGCGTACCCAATCGTCGCGTTCGGAAGGAAACTGGACGTTCGCCCCTTGGCTTCGATGCCTGTTGTATCCCAAGGTCATCCAGCGCTTGCGAAACTGGTCCTCGGTCATCCCGTGGCCATCGTCTTCGACCGACAGCATGCCACTTGTTTCCTCCGGGATGATCACGGCAACCCTGGCAGCCCCTGCATCCCACGTGTTGGCCACCAGCTCAGTGAGCGCCATATCTGGGTCATAGCCAATCCGCCCGAGTGACCGCAGCACGTAGTCTTCCTCAAAGAGAGCTTGGTTGGCTGCCTTGCCCTTCTTGTCCATGGGAATATCCGCAAAGTACTTGATCGGTAATATGTGCAAGACTATGCCGCCTTCCGCCGAGTTTGGCAAAAAGCTAAGCCCAGCCCATCTCACCTGCCGCGACGCCAGCCGACGCGTGTGCTATTGCCGGAGCGCCGTTCAATCCCTCGCCCGCTCCGCTTGACCCACTTGGTAATCTCCGTCAGCACGCCGACCAGGAATGTGCCGTATAGACAGCCACTGAGCTAAGCGTCCGCTTTCGGCCAGAAGCGGATATCAGAGTTTCACGTCAGCAGCCCAGCTGCACCCGCTCAGCTGATGCGCTTTGGACTGGTTCCCGCGGGACGTTGAGCACAATCGGTATCGGCGCCAGCCCAAGCGCTCCTCCGGACTGTCCGGCCTCGCCCCCGCCCAAGCCGCTTTTCCAATGACCTCACCCATCCAAATAGAGTCAAATAGCGCTCCGAGAGCGGTTCGGTTCCGACCAGCAGCGCAACACGCGTGACCGAGCAATGCCTGGCCCAAGGCTCTGGGAACCTATAGCGAAGACGGTGCGGCCGACGATCAAGCACGCTACCGTTGCCCAGAATGCCTGAGCATCCAGCGGAGAGGGCACCGAGGGAAACGAGCTACACGCTCGAAGTACGACGCCAGCGAACAGCACGACCGCCAACGATTGAATTCCGGTCAGTGCAAGGGCGACTCGGAACGCGAACCATGTGCTTTCGGGCACTCACGCGCGCATCCATTATGGCTGTGAGCCCGTGTTGGTGATGCTTCGCTGGGACGCCTGGTGGGACGACCACAAGCGTGTGCATCGCATCCGCAAGGAAGAAGGCGCTTTTTACGGCGTCGCCGGCAACCGATCAAGGTGGTCACGACACCCAATACTCTGTAGGACATTCACTGTCCCCAGTGACGCCCTGTTCGATGGACGTCGCTTCCGGCTACTAGAGGTGCTGGATCGCCCGCACCACACCAACAGCAAAGGGCTCTCACCCATACCACCGGCGCCCCTGCACAAGCAGTTCATCCCAGCCCCATCCCTTGGTGGGCGAGTACACCCAGTTTCGGAGCCTTCTCAAGCTGCGAAGCAAGTGCGCTACGAACTCGGCTAAGCAGGGCTCTCCCTTCGGAGCTTTCTATCGCCGCTTCACCAAAAACCTCCAGTTCCCGGATGAGCTCGCCAATCTCCAAGGTCCCGCGGTTCTCGGCATCCGAGGCCATTTCCTGATAGGCCCAGTCAATGTAGTCCCACATGCTAGTAGGATTGGAGTGGCCGCTTAAAGAAGCCACCTGTGCGAGTACCGTTGCTGCTGCCTCAACGCCAAGAATCCCAATGTTTCGAAGCCTCTTGATCCGATCGATGACCTGAAGAGTTATGTACCTGTGTCGAAGCATATGAGCCGTAGCGCGCTCTGAAACTCCGGCAAGCGCCCGCAGATCCGAGAAAGTCTGGCTCACCGTTGCAGCAGCTAGCCTTGAACCGCTCTGAGAGCAGAAGACCCAACCCTTGTCGCGACTCCCCCGTCCGGACTTGGTATGGCGGCGCATATGCATTTCCCGTTGCACCCTGATGTACTTCATGACCTCCTGCAAAGTTAGTGCGGGAACAGGAACCAGACGTATAGGGTTCCCCCTCCTCTTCGAGGTCCGCACCTTCAGCATGCCATCACCCTTCGATGCATCAAGTACATCGGTGACCCTGATCCAAACAAGCTCTTCGCGCCTGATCCCGGTATCCGCGAGTATCAGGAGCATCGCGCGATTGCGACTCTTTACGAAGGTGCGCTTCGCGCTTCGCTCGCACTGCGCCAGGAGTCGGCGAAATACCTCAAGAGGCATTGGTCGTACGACTCGCTTTGCACCACTTGGAAGCATCGCTGCATGCCTGTCCGAGGACACCCGGTCCAGCCGTTTCGTCCTCACCACGCGCCTTTCAACCGTGATAATCGCCTGCTCACCAAGCCGGCCGATCTGGGAAGGGCCGAGACTGATACATTCGGCCCAGCCAATGAAAGCGAGAACACGTGAGAGGATACGATTGATGTGCCTTGCGCTGGACTCATCCCGAACCACCAGCCAATCAGCAAACTCGATCAGATGATCATCATCGATCTCTCTCAGCTCCAGGCGACGCAAGTACAGAAATCGTACCAGCAGGCTTAGCTCACTCGCATAGGTGGATATCGTACCTACCGTCAGCCCAAGGCGTCGGCAATGAACTAGGTACGCATTCACTTCCCAGCAAGAACGGCCGTTTGGGAAGAACACCACCTTCATGCCTCCTGCCGCGCCCCTATCGAGGAACGAGGTGACGCGTCCAACCCCCGGTAACCGGAATTGATTGCTGGCCCTCCTACACAAACCACCATCAATCTTCACTTCACTACCCGTAGGGAGCTAGAGCCGCGGTACCGATCGAAGTGTCGCTTTAGCTCATCGGCTGCGACCTCCGATCCAAGAGCCAGCCTCTTGAAGCGTTGCACGAGATCACTGTACCTAGCGGTCATGTCCAGAACAGCATCCTCCAGCCAAGCCTCATCTTCCTGCTGTGCAACAGGCTTCCTCGCGGCCCCCAGAAGCTCTCCGATGGCACGCCTAAACGCTTCCATCCCGCCTGGGTACAGCGATTCCACATTGTTCCTGAGTGTTCGAACCGACATCGGAAAGATGCCTCGAGCCTCATCATTCATCCCGGCAAGATCACTCATGCGTCTAAAGAGATCACTATGCTCTTCAAGAAGGGACCCAACTGCCACCGCCTCGTCCAGGATGGCGATGATGCCCCGAACACTCCGTTCAGCACGAAGCTGCTTGTCCCGCACACCCGCAGCTACCTGTCCTTTACTGAGCCTTGGCATCATTCCCCTCTGTGCGAAATGAGGATTGTGAACGTACTACGATCGCCGGTTGTAATCTGAATCGGCTTGACACTGATCTTTCGCTCCTCAGAGAGCATCTCCAGATACTCCAAGACATCATCATGATCGAGAACAGCGAGATCGTCGCTTCCGAAGTGCTCGAGAAGAAGCGCCTTCAATTTTTGGGCAGATTCCGAGCCATCACCTGAGTTCACAGCCGCCATCGCCAAACAGGCTTCTGCATGACTGATCTCCTTGCCCGTCATAGACTCCTTCACGTATCTCCAAGTCTCCTCGACATCATGATGACCCATGAGCCACGCGAGCGCAGGTAGAGATGACTCTTCCCCCTCCGAATGAAAGAATGTCATAGCAAAGCTCCTTCGCAGTTGATGAGGCTCAAGCACCCATCGCTTTCCGTCGGGGCCACGGAGATCAAAGTAGTCACTTATGAGCTGGAGAACGACGCGCGGATGATTCTCACTGAATGGCCTGATGCCCTGCATTCCGACGAAGAACATCACGCGATCATCCAGCAACGAATCCTCCCTGGGCATCACCCGAAGTAGTTGCGTCCTGAGATTGTTCATGATCGATATCGCCATGGCAACGATACGTGGCACAGGCTTGTCAAACCTCGGCCTCTCGTTCCCTTCCCCCCGCTTTGCCTGGTGAATCGTCAAGTGGTAGCGACCATCAGATGTCAGGAGCGCATGCAACCCCATGTCAATGATCTCGGATCTCCTTGCACAAGCAAACAAGGCCACAAGTCCAAAGCAAACACCTAGATGGATTCGGATCAGTCCGAGAACCAAAGGGAACAACCGATAGGGTTCCAAATCACAGTACCTGTCATCCCCTCTCTCCCTGAAACGCTGGGAAACGAACCTCGAACAGCGTACTAGTGGACCGGTTTCAATCAGCGCTTCCGCATCCTTCAACAATGCAGTTGGCGACCGGTGGCCAAGGTCACCACTTTGGGCGATTTCATCAATCAACCCTGCAAGGTGAGCCTCCAATGCAGGCGCCTCCTCAAGCATCCACGCACACGCTGACCTAACAAACTGCCTACAGACGGTCGGTGGCAATGTCGCCGTGCGGCCCGACTGTTCTCTGCGAAAAGGTCGGCAAGCATCGCGAACCTCGCGAACATTGCTCAAAGCCCACGCGCTTAGGGTCTGGACGGAGTGCGAGGCCTGAGCCAGTAGCGGAAAGATATCCGCATAGCCGCTGGTGGTACGAGCGCCGCGGCTTAAGTCGCGTTCTCCTCGGTACCCGTACTGGGTCAGATGGCTCCGAAATGCGGGACTACTGCGCAGCCTCTGCCAGTCCACCGATATAGCCGCGCCAATGGCGACCAAACTCAACTGGTTTGTTTCCGTCAAACCAAAGTGGTTCCTAACCTCATCCGCGTCTAACCGTTCCAACGGAATCTCAGCCGAAAGGTAAGAGCTAAGNGAGCTAAGGCGCTCAATGAACCGCCCCGTCCCGCAAGACCCCGCCTCAGCATAGGACTCCATGAATGCCTCTACGTCGTCCAGATGAGCGACTAGGAGTCCGTCACGCAGGAACTTCTCTTCGTACTTAAGGGCCAAGAACTCTGCGAAGAGAAACAGTGCGCCATGAACTGATCTGAGCGACCGGGTTGATCCACGTACCTTCGCTACGGCGATGATCAACGCCTTACATTGTTCACAGATAACTGCGTGAGATGATGTGCTCAATCGTCCCGTTGGTAGCAGTAGATCCCATCTCAGAACCTGCCCACCGCGACTCTTCTCACCGACTTGGCGCAGATCTCTCTTTCCCGTCTCAACTCTCCATACAGATTCGTGGACCGCGGATTTCAGCCACCACGGACGCACTAATGGGCTCAAACCGGTTTGGGTCCGACTGAAGAAGGACAGGACCTCCGAGGGAAGTTGAGCCATCACCGGATCTCCGGCAGCCGAATGCGAGAAATGATGACAGTCTTTCTAGCCAATGCACACTCGACAAGATCAGTGATCTCAATCAATGCCGGGGGCAATGGCGCGGTCAGCGCATCCACAAAGTCTCTCCAGAATCGCGGGGCAACTCCGGTCCGGAGATCAGGTCGATCCAGGAAGGTCGCACTGGCGCTTTCCAAGCGATCCCGGTAGAGCATTGCAACCGCCAGCGCATCAGGATCCTTACAGAGGATCAGTCCCGCGCCAGGAGAAGCGGCCTTGTACACACGGCGGGGAACCTGAGCTTCAGCAGCCTCGTCCGCGCTACCCGAGAGGAACAGGTGGAGGTCCTCAACCGTCGAGAAATCCGACACTTCAAGAAGCCGCTCGTGATCAGAAAATGCTTGAACGATCAGTCTGTTCTGGTGCCGCCTAACCTGCCTCTCAAACAAGGCGATGCGAAGGGCATTTGGGACGTAGTGCCCCAAGGTCGTCTTGACCGATCGGTGGCCAAATATCCTCGCCGCTACGACAAGATCACCATCTGCCTCAAGGAACTTTAGCACTCCGGAGTTCATTCGTAGATTCTTGTAGGTGAGCTTCTCTCTCCATGGAGCGAGCTCGGCATGGCGCTCCCCGAAGTTCGTTGCCCGGGTGACCATGCCGGCTCCCCTGACACTGCGCCAAGCTTCAGATGCACCAAGTGCATTCAGGAACGCTTTCTCCGAGAAGGCTTTCAAACGGTAGTCGAGGCTACTGATGCCAATCCAAAGATGGTTTGCATCCTTCCTTCTCCCTTCCTGGATCATCCGAGTACGTACGGGCTCGGTCCACTCGAAGACCTTCACAAGAACTCGCTGGGCAAGAGGCGAAAGCTCCACACTCTTCTCCTCGCCCGCACGCAGCTTCTCCACGCTAAAGCGGATACCCCCTTTTCCGACAAGACCATCGGAGGAGATGTAGGTTCCACCATGACGATCCCTTTCTATCCTGGCCCTGTACAACGCCACTGGGTTAAGAATCGGGTGTTCAATGAGTAGGATCAGTATGCAGACTGCCGCCTGCTTGCTACTCATGATGCCAAGGTATGGCAGGAGCTCGTTCTTTCCGAACGAAGAAACGAAGTCCCAGATTCTGCTAGACCCATCTAAGATGGATGCCTTGCTCGACTTCACATCGAATTTGCGTCGCTGCCTAGGAATCCCGCCCATATCAAAGACGCATATCCCCAAGGCAATCCTGAGACCCTTCTCATATCGCTCTTGATTCAGCAGGTGCCCCCAGTTCTCTCGGGAGAATCCGCCTCGGCGATGCGCCTTAAGCTCATGTAGTGAACCTACGTCGAAACGGCTAATTTCAGCCAAGCCTCTCTCTCGTTGAGCCACGAACTCCTCGAAGTCCTTCACTGCGCAGTGGAGAATCGTGTTTACTGCCTTCCCAAGTTTTTCCTGATAGCGATCTAGGTACTCTGCACTTCCATCAACGATTGAGATCGACTCGAAGAGATTGTCGTTGTATGAGTTCTGTGCCGAGTTCAAAGTCTTTGGGGCGTTGTTCAGGCACACTGGTGAGTTTGCAGCATGCTCCCTATCCGCAATGATGAGCGCGCGAGGCGGAGCGGAGATGGCAGCCAATTTCGATTCGACGAAGTTGATTGCACCGGTCTGAACAAGACAGGGGATGAATCGAACAAAGCTGGTCCACTGATTCGTGATCGTAGTTAGCGCGACTCCAACCGCCGCTCTGGCCGCGTAGAACTCACCCCGAAGATCAGACANCCAAGGCAGCGGAACTGATTCGACGACTTGGAGCCGGCCACCCCCTTCTTGCACCGAGGGCCTGCCAGAACTGAAGGACGCAGCGAACCGAGTACGTGTTCTGGGCCGCGACGTAGCGCCTTGATAGCTTGACAATTGCATCGACAAATGCGGCTTGACCGCGAGGTCCGATCCAACTCCGAAGAAATGTGAAGTCAATCGACGCTACTCCATGCGCCCGACCGATCGCCCTTACCGTGATCCAAAGTCCGTCCGGGCCCGTTTGGACCTCGCCGACAC